CTGGTGAATTAGTAGATATGATTTTTGTGCTGAACGGCAAAAAATAAATAATCACTATAAAAACAGAAAATTATTGTACAAACACTGGTTTTGGTTATAAACATTAGTTTCAGAACACTTATTTGGATACAAAATAGTGTAATAGGAAATAGCTAAATAATAACATAAGAAGTGTAGAAGTTGTAATCAAAATACGCAAAATAGACACAGAAACACAAAATCGCTTAAAATAAAGTACTTTTCTTTAAAAGAGGTATAAAAACTGCAAATCATAGTTCTTCAAATTATGTAACTAAGATAAAATACAGGATGTTTCAAAAAACATGTGCCATCTCTCGTGGGGAGATTCCTCACGTAAAAATAATATTTATTTTTCATATCAACATAGGTTCGATTCTGCTTTTTTTCGTAACTACAGGGTTTTAAAATCTTATTACTTTTTCAGTTGATTATAATATTTTCCAAGTACTTTTAGCATTTCGAATTAAATTTTGGTAAAAGTTATTATAAATGCAACATATTTTAAAGATAAAAAAGTGTCGACATACTCACCAGGGACATGCATATGGGTTATCACTGGAATATTTAAAAAAAAGCATGTACGCTACTGACTTTTTTCCTGTTAGCGAAATAGTTTAAGCAGTTTAATGCCGATTATAAATGTTTCTTGATATTTTGTCGATTTCGGTCTGTTTAACGAGATAAACTCAATTTTATTAATTTGCACAATTTGCATTAAAAGCCTTAATCCAAGTCTAATAGTTAAAATGTTTTTATATCATTAACTTGCGAAAGCTTTAAATACCTAAGTACTCACTGATTTCCCATCAAAAAATATGAAAAAATGTTCTTATAAACATGTACATGGAAATGCATAGTTTTAGAATTATAATAATTAATGGTAATAATTTATTTAATAATAAATTAGGTAAAATATATAATTTATTAATTTATTTTTATTTTAATTTTATTAATTGTGATTAATAAAATTACGTTTATCTCATCAAGGATGCGGAATTCGACAAAATATCAAGAGATAACTTTTAATTGGCATTAAACGGTTTACACAATTTTGATATCAAAAAAGTCAGTGGCGCACATGCCAAATATTCCAGTGATAACCCATATGGACACTTTTTTAGTATTAAAATATGTAGCACTTATAGTAACTTTTACCTTCAAAATTTCATTCGAATTACTACAAGTACTTGGGAGAAAATTATAATAAATCGAGAGACCATTATGATTTTAACACCTTGTAGCTACGAAACAAAGTAGAATCCAGGGTAGAATCGGACGTATGTTGATATAAAAAATAAGTATTATTTTTACGTGAGAATTCTTCCCACGAAAGATGGCACATGTTTTTGGAAACACCCTGAATAAGGAGTTCTATATTAAATATTGAAGCGTTATTAGATAATGTAGCAAAATACATATAGGTATCATACAATTATGGTTACTTATTGATTTTAAAACGGACACTACTAGAAATCATTTTCTGCAAATTTAAAGCTCTTTCAAAATTTTAAAATTCATTTTATTAGTTAGTAAATAATTTTCCAAGGGCCATATTTCAAAAACCACTCATATGCTATATAAAATATTTAGTAGTTTGAGTATTGGAAAGGCCCAAAGGGTGTTTTTTGTGTGACGTTTCGTGACTTTATTGTATGATTTGTGTGATGGATAATTTTCTTATGCATTTGAAATACTAAATATTTTTGAATCACCCTAAGATTCCAACCCTTATACGATAGATAAGATTTTTAAATGTGCTCTTTTATTGCGCCTATACTATGCCTATACCTACATGTCTATAGCCGCCTATACATGTCTGTATAGTTCATATCAAATAAATTTTTAGTCACGTGATTTAGTCACTTTTAATCAAAATATTTTCGGAAACAGCCTTAAATGAGGTCGACTCAGCCTTAAATGAGTACTTGGGATTCACAATCCTGAGGTAATAATAGGCGGTTGAAGCGTAGTGCTAGCCACATTACCTTCCTTGTATACCGAACGGCTCTAGTATAGCAAGCTGTACCTTGCTACTCCCAAGGCGTTAAACGCTATATACGGGAGCTATTATTATTATTTTCGGAAACAAAAATACATTAATTATAATTATATAAACAGTTATTATTTACATCAACAAAACTCACTTCCTTAACAGCACTCAATGGACATAAAGGGCTATTACTACCGCTTTCCCATTCAAAATATTCTAAAAAGTTTGCGATCAGTTTTTCACGGCTATTAAGATATCTTGTAGCCACTTCGCACTAATAGAGGTTCTAAAAAGAACAATGTTCGACTGCAAGGTCTGCTAGTAAACATTTCTAAGCTTAAAGTATCACAATACAATCAATTCATTTAAACCAAAAACAAAAGTGTCAAAACGAATTAAAATGTTAGAAAATAAATAAATGTGACAACTTGACTTTTTTTATACCAGAGCTGGCACCTGAATCCCCAGCGGGAAATTTAAATTCCAGTTAGTCAGCCCGACGCCGAATATGTCCTTGGTGAGCAAAAATGGTTTAAAAATCGCGCCCTAGATTACATAACAAAAAGCTTAATTGATATCGCGTATACAGGGTGGTCCGAATTGTATTCCAGAAACTTCGGCAGCATATTCTGCAGATAAAAATAAATAAAAAAGTTTGTATAAATGCTGGTCCCAAAAGGCTGAGTTTGAGAGATACCGGGTGTAGAAGATTCATTTTTATTTCGATTTTTTCCAAATAATTTCTGAAATAACGTCAATATTTCGATGAAATCGATGTCTGGGAGTTTTTTGCCATGAGAAATTTGATTTTGATATCAATATGACTCCTATTTGTAGGGGGCGCCAACTACATGTCTTTTAACTGTTTTTAAGAGTAGTAACTTTTCGTCCGTACCTGTATAAATCTACTAATAGTAATATATATTTCCGTGACGTAAAAATTGTCTCTTGGTAGAAATCGCTACGAGAAGCCGTTCTTGAGATATTTAGAATGGAAATAGTCAATACATGCCATTATTGACGAAAAATAAACATGTTGAGTAGATAGTTATTTGACTGAAATAATAAATTTGGGAAATAATATTTTAAATTAATCATAATTTTTTCTGCGAAAAAAATGATGATAAAAGAGTTGCTGTTCAACTTTTGGCACAAAAACATTTCAAATTTATGATTTCAGTCTAATAACTATTTAGTCGACATGTTTAATTTATGTCAATAATGGCAGCTACAATAACTTTAATTCCAAGTGAGATACTTGGAATTGGAGAACCATTACTCGTAGCGATTTTTACCAAGAAACCTTTTTACGTAAAAAAACGTCGTAAATGTATATTTTTTACTTTAGTAGTTACTAGTTATGTGACCATTCCCATGAGAACCGGCGCATCATCACTCTGGTCCCAGGAATCGACATTGCAACTCAGCAAGATCCTGGGAGACGTAGTTTACTTTTTAAATCACATTGTATTAATAAATCATTCCTTGTTCTGTTGTCGTACTGTACTAAGCTTCTAAGTTTTTGAATATAAATAAATTTTTAAAAACGAACTTCTGCCGTCGAACGATTTAAGTGGCGCAGTCGGTAGGATTACACGGTAGGATTACACGGTAGTGCTTTCTTTAACTGTAAATTCGACTGTATATCGAGAGAAATCCTACTCGGGTTTTCAAATCCGCCAGTGTGATCCGAAAAGAACCAGACCACAACTAGCAAGGGGTCGGAAAGGGACTGGAAAAACCTAAGGTTAGTGCCATTTTCTTTTACCCTATTGATCCTCTGTTTAAGGCCGTCGATAGGAATAGTTAGGGCAAATTAGATTTAGTTCAGTCTATTGAAGGCAAAAACACGTAGAAATAAGCAAAAAAAAACGAAAGCTATTTCAGAGAAAATAGAAAGTAAAATAAACAAATAAAAAGTTTATTGATTAATTTTTAGGCTAGGAAAATATTACTTGACCTTTTAAAGTAGCGCAAAATACTTCTAGATCAATATAATGAAAATATTTTATTTTTAAGAAACGGAAATTTTAATTTTGATTCAAAGACGCAAGTTTGAATTAGAGCTATAATTTCAAAATATTTTCAAAGATTTAATTAATAAAATTTTGATCAAATCTATAAGTTAAAAGATATGGCAAATCAATTGATTCCACCAATTGAATTAACAACAAATAATCAAACTTCAATAATAAATATTTTAATCAGTATTTGCTTTATATTAATTATTGTCTTAATAATTATAAGAAGAAAGAAAATTGCATTATTTTGGAGATCAATGATCAATAAATCGAAGAAAAAGAAGATTGGTCCGAATTCGAAAACCACATCCGTTATTTTCGAATCTTAAGGAGGGAGGAGTTATGTGACCATTCCCATGAGAACCGGAGCATCATCACTCTGGTCCCAGGAATCGACATTGCAACTCAGCAAGATCGTGGGAAACGTAGTTTACTTTTTAAATCACATTGTATTAATAAATCATTCCTTGTTCTGTTGTCGTACTGTACACTAGCTTCTAAGTTTTTGAAAATAAATATATTTTTAAAAACGAACATCTGCCGTCGAACGATTTAAGTTACTAGTTATTTTTTACTTACTAGTTTTACTTAGTTAGTTTTTTAGTTTTTAGTAGTTTTATACAGATACGGAGGAAAAGTTATTACTCTTCAAATCAGTTAAAAAATATGTAGGTGGTGCCCCCTTCAAGTAGGAGTCATATTGACATCAAAATCAAATTTCTCATGTCAAAAAAAAACCCAAACACCAATTTTCATCCAAATGTTGACGTTACTTCAGAACTTTATATGATCTTTTTTACTTTTTTTTTATCTGGAGAATATGCTGCCGAAGTTTCCGGAATACAGTTCGGACCACCCTGTATATGTTTCGTTCATAAATGTCTGTACAAAATATATCTACAAATGGAGAAAATATGGGACTTTAGTTTTTTCATACATTAATAAATAATATTTTCTTTTATTGACAGGATAATAAAGAGAACAGCTTCAAAAGTATACCGGAAGGCCTGTGGTGGGCTATAGTTACCATGACAACGGTAGGTTATGGGGACATGGCCCCTAAGACCTACGCGGGCATGTTCGTGGGGGCTCTTTGCGCGCTTGCCGGGGTGCTCACTATTGCCTTACCTGTTCCAGTTATAGTATCGAACTTCTCCATGTTTTATTCCCACACACAGGTACGTTATTTTGTTTACTTTGTACTGAACATGAATTTCCTTTTTAACTTTACAAACGTTTTTTTTTTCACCTAAAACATGTTTATTATATTGGAAAACTATTTTTATTGGTCAAAAAGCTATTTCATGTTTCAAAAAGTACTAAGAAATTTATAAGTTTGAAAATACAATATTAGAACACAAATTCAGAGTAATGACCTGTAGGTCTATTATTGTTAATATTAAAGCAAGGCGTTATCTCTAAACTTATAAGATATATTGTGGAACAAGTTATATGGATGACGCTAACCAAATTTACACGTATGCAAATGTAAAAAGTACAATTTTGTGATATTAATGATTATAATAGTAGTCAGCTGCTACTATTTCGGTCTTGATTTTAGGTAGGTTAAAGATAACCATTGTTCTATATTAATTTTTTCTCACCCTGTATAATTTTTTGGGTCAAGTTTTAATTTGATTTGTACAATAGTTATGTTAACTACATATGGGTAAATTCCAATTTAGGCAGCTTTTATTAAAATTTAAAAATTGTCCTTTATTTTTAGAAAATATTAAATATGTCAAAAACCTTATATATTAGGCATATACTTCTTTAATAAAACTCACCTTTATTTCTGCTCGAATACGAAAATCAATTAATATATATGCTGTTCCATTACAAAAAACACAACTTTGATTGTGTAACTTTTTTTGGGGAAACCCTGTAGAACTCTCTATATTTTTTTAGTTTTAAAAGTGCTCAGAAATAACCTACATATGCTCACAAAATTTCATTTGAATACACACTGTCGTTCTCCTTGGAGCCTCCACGTTATATAAGAGGCGCCACCCTGTATAAAGTTGTCTATAAAACCTAAATCCGATAGTTAAATAAAAATAAAGGCAACATATCGATAATACATGAGCGATATTTTATTTATCGTTAATGTTTTCTGATATTTGTCGTCATGCTAGTTGTGCTCTGTTATTTACTATTATGTAAAGAAATACAATATTAGTAACAAGAAAAAGTTACTAATAGCAAACTAATAGTATATTACATACCGAGGAGGGAAGTGTCCCATTAATCTCTAGAGATTGATATTGTTAATCGAGACGTCGAGATTAGCTAAATCTCGAGACAATAATGAAAACTTTCCTCCGAGGTTTGTATACCATTTTATTTACAACCACATCATTAATTAAAAAATAGGGACAGTATTTTATTTTGAAGTCGGAAAGTTCTGATAATGAAGACTGCTTTAATATTGGTATTCCATGAGAACTTACAGAAGCTGCAAAAAGAGCAGAAGCCAGTTTACTTCCAGAGAAAAGTAGGGGACGATATGAAATGGCATTGAAAGTATATTAAAAATGGTGTGCCGAAAGAAATGCTAAGAATATTGCTTCGGAGACAGTCTTGATGCCATATTTATTGACATGGCAAGGCAAGAAAAACTATCTACTCTTTAGGCTACGTACAGCGTGATACGGACAATGCTAGAATTAAGGGAAAAGACTGACATATCGAAATATCACAAACTCGTCGCTTTTTTAAAACGCCAGAATGTAGGTTTTAAGCCAAAGAAGTCTAGCATTTTTACCTTCAACAAATAAATGTATTAAAATCTTCAATTATTATTGTTAATCTTCTTGTTTATTTTTGTTGATGTTAGATAAGTATTTAATAAAGATATTACAAGAATATTTTGCTTAATTAAATGAGGCAAGAAATAAGAAAAACCGAGTGAGGGAAATGGATGAGAGAAATGGAAGAGGGAAGAAATGTAGATGATATGACACTTTCAAATTTTTTAAAAGTCAGTAGTGTCAGTATTACATATATGTGGTTGTAAATAAAATAATATATACATTTTTAAAACAACTTTATACAAGATTGCCTTAAATTTTTGACGCAGAATAAGATAAAAAATGGAAAATACAAAAATGGAAGATTCTATTTGAGATAATCCAATTTTAGTATTTTGCATAAAATTCTATGCTCCTGATATAATGTTTAACAAAATACTATAGAAATTTAAGTAGAGATTTTTAGTAAGAAAGCTTTTTCTGGTTAAAGTGGAAGTGCAACGAAAAAATTGTCGACCATACCTGTTGGTATGGTCGGCTAAAAAATACATTTTAAAGAGAAAGTATACCCCACAAAAATGTATATTAATTTTGGTGAGATATACTTCTAGAGATTAAAATATATTCTAATTTGTATGAAAAGTAGGTCATTTTTCTCCATTAATAATCTTTTAATAAAAGATAATAATCTTTTAATAAATTGGTTATGTAAAAAACTAAATTTTACATCTCCACGAATAAATAGATTGAGATGGATTTTCTAAATCTTCTTCGCCTTCTGACACAAAAATGTATAATTATCTAAAATAACGCCGTAATTAATTTCCACAAATGAAAAATAATATATCGTATGTTGAAAATTTTTAGGCAAGAGCAAAATTACCAAAGCGTCGAAGAAGGGTATTACCTGTAGAGCAGCCCAGAAGAAAGAAAACCGACAATGTTGGAAATAGAAGAGTAAATGCCATTAAACATCACCATCCAGCTATCATTAAAGATGCATTTGGACCTACCAAGATTGGTAATGCTTTTAGTATTTAAGTATTAACTATTTTATTATTTAAGTATATACAGTGCTTTTATTTTAACTGTGAACATAGCCTATAATATAAAGTTTATAATCATCTGCTGATGATGCTAACATGGTTAGCGAAACGCGCGTCCAGTGCAAAAGTAAAAGTGTTTTGGTGTATTGTGGTGATTTAGTGTTTTTATTTTGCTTTCACCGTTAAAATAAAAGCACTGTATAACTATTTAATTAATATAAGATTTCTTATCTTTTAATAAATATTACGCCATAAAATTTATTATAATTTTTATTTTATATTAACTTACCTAATTTTAACGTCTTGTACTAAAATATTTAAACGTTCTCTGTCGTAAAATTTAAACAGCTAAGAGGTAAAATTGATTTCCTTGTATCAGGTTTATGTTTGAGGCTAACAGTAAAAGAGGGCGCCAGCTCATACAGGATATATTTCTTATTTGAGATGTTATATTTAAAAACTTATTTGTAGCTCTCAATAATATTTTATAGAAAATTGTCAGGTTGTTGTAATTTTTAGAAACAATATCTAAATTTTTAGGTAATGCTAATGGAGTACCAGTAATAAATTTATCTTTGCAAGGACCTTCAGTACCTAATCTAGCAGTATTATCTCACAATGGACCATATAGTATACAATCCCCCGAAGGTATCTATTTATATTTTTAACTTGCATATCTTTATTAGATAGTGGAAAAAAAATCTAAAAAAATATTTGTATTAAATTGCAAAAAAATTGTATATGGAATTTGTGTTTGTGGCTTACAATCCTGGGGTATTTTTTTGCAGCAAACTTTTAAGATACTTTTGAAATTAAGTAAGGTATTTTATATAAGTAAGGTATTTTACATAATTTCAAAGATTATGATATACCGTTTTTATAGTTCGTTTATTAAGTTCTCAAACTTAAATTTAATTTGAACAATATATGTTCTAATATGATTATTTCGAGGGGTACCTCACACTTTAAATCGGAATTAAATTTACATTTTTTTGGCAGTCGCTGGCAGTCATTGGCAGTCGTACGGCAGTCGCCTATAATAATTAGATGGCAATCATAGGCAGTCTTCTTCACAGTCGGTGGCAGTCTCTTGAAAGTAAAATTATATTTTGGCAGTACATGTACATTTTTTATCCAAGTGAGACACCCCTCGGATTATTGTTAGTTCCCAGGTGTTAGTACGCAGAAAAAAAATCGTGGGTGTTTGGAAAGGCTCGAAAGAAAACAATTATGTTTTGCGACTTTATTGTCGTTTCTTCAGGCACCAAAAAATATATTAATTTATATGCCTACAAATATTCATGGAGATTCCAACCGCTAACACTAAGACACATACAGACGAACGAACAGAAACTTAACGGGTATTTTTTTGCCCGATGTGCACCCGATGCTAGGTTTATGTCCTACTCGGTATGTCGTTTTTTCCTGCGAATATTTGTTCTGTGTGTGTATGTTTAATTTACTCAGTATTAATAACATTTTGTAGAAAATGCAAATAATTTTATATTGATCAGTTATTACACCCTTCTGGCATATTAAAATTTGATTAAGTATTACACTCAGATGCAAAAAAAACGGCTTATATTTTTAGAGTATTATATTTTTGTTATCTTTAGCCATATTTTCATGCTTTTTTAGCAAGCTGTATATAATTATATCAACTTTAATTCGTAAACTCAGTTTTTTATAAATTTTAGTATTTTGTATATTATCCAGGGTTAATCGAGGGGTTGTTTTTTTACCCTAATTTGTGAACTATATATTACTATGAACTGCCCATCATGTTCGACGTTTGGAAAATGCTTGACAGGAGGGTTAGAGGTCGCGAAGCGATACCAGCTTCTTTAAATGAACTTCGCTTGGCCCTTAAAAAAGAATTGGAAAACATAACACAATATGATATATAACACAATATGATAAACTATTAGGGTATTTTTTACATTTTTTTTCTGTTTGTATACTTGAGTATTACAGATGTTTTTTTTAATATCGTTGGTTCTGTTATCTATTAATGTTTATTAAAATCAGGACTCTATCGTTAGGCTTTTAGGTTTTTTTTAAATTTAGTATAGAGTATTCAATACCAAAACCATCTCAACATATTAAAAAATTATATCAAAAAGTAATGATAAATTGAAAAAATTGCAAATTATTGACAATAATAAAAAAAATGCTTAGAAGTCATGGTTTTGACCGTAAAATTATAACTTAGGAAAAATTACAAAGGAAATTATTTTACAGGGTGTTTTAAAGTTAGGGAAAAAAACAACTTCTCGATTAAACCTGTATTATATGTCAAATACTTCATAAAAAACTGAGTTTATGAATTAAAGTTGATATAATTATAAATAGCTAGATAAAATAGGGCTAAAAATAATAACTTTGCTGAGTATATCAATATAATAATAATAATGCTAAATGTTGTATAAGTTAATTATAGTTTAGCTTAGTTACTTAAATTCAAAAAATATGACATATTTTTTTTGTTTATTAACGAAACTCATTAAAATTAATTTTAATTTAATCTATATATGTTTTGCTTAATAGAACTTGCTCAGTAATATTATAATTGCGTAAGTAAAAGCGAACATTTTTAGACTGGTTTTTAAATCTTAGGCATTATTTGCGACAATTATTATATTTAACTTTTTTTTTCAGTCAAACGTAGTAAATTGTCGGTAGCAATTTAGCTGAGTTACATAATTTCAAAAACTATGATTTACACTTTTTATTCTCAATATAATCAAAAGGATTAACTTAAGAATAAAATCTGTAAATAAACAACCTAACCAAACCAAACCAAACCAAACAGAACATAATAAACAGATATAATAATAAACAGAACAAGTATTTAAATACAAAAATTTGTATTTAAATACTTGTTCAACCTAACCTAACCTAACCTGTTCTGTTTAGTATTACTTGATCCATGACGTTAAATTTAAATATTATGATATATTTTGTCTCTTAGGTCCTAGATATTTTTGTCGTAACAAACTTTTAAATTCCTATTTCTGCCGAAATAATGTAAGTAGTTCTAGCTAATTTATTATAACTTATTCTAGCTTATTTACACAATATAGTTTGCTCAGTAACATTAAAATTAGGTAGAGCACAGTGATGAGATGGATAAATGGTTTTCAACCAAGACCAAATTTGGATATGGATTGTATGGAAGAAGTAGTAGCTTACTTCTTCCCTATACACCCAAAAGTCCGTGATAACTTCTGTGATAACAACGTCTGTGATATAAATCAAACCGTAAAATGTGATAATAGTGATAATAATAAAACGATCTGTGATAGAATACTAAGCTTTAATAAGGACGAACTACTGGCGGCTTGTAATAAACTTAAAAATGGCAAAACTCCAGGACCAAGCAATATACCCGCTGAGATACTAAAAGAAGCAGTTTTATACCTACCAGAATATACATTAAAAGTATATAATAGATTAGTAATGGCACAAATTTTCCCAGAGGAATGGAAAAAATCAAAGCTGATCCTACTTCAAAAGGGTGAAAGTACAATTCGAAGTCCAGCAGCCTACCGTCCGATTAGTCGACTACAGGGTAAACTATATGAGCACTTGATACTAAATAAACTGAATGAAGAACTAGACAGAACAGGAGGGCTCTCAAACTATCAGTTTGGTTTTAGAAAAGGCAGACAAACGGTTGGAGCAATTGCTGAATTGCTAAAAAAGGCTTTAGAAGCAGCGGACTACGCACCGAACAACCGAAAGCTATGTGCTATGATAACTCTAGATGTAAGAAACGCATTTAATAGCGCATCTTGGCAAATTATTCTGGATAGATTAAAAAGGAGAGGCATCGAGAAGAGATTAATGCGACTTATCGCATCATATCTATCAGACAGGAAGTTGATACTAGCAGCAGATAACCAGGTTAAAACTGTGGAGATTAATAGTGGGGTACCACAGGGCTCGGTATTGGGTCCCACTCTGTGGAATATTTTATACGGCGACCTTCTTGAAACAAAAATTGCTGAGGGTACCAAACTAATTGGATTTGCGACCTGGCAATGGTGGTAGTGGCAAAAACTGAAGAGGCACTGATGAACACTGCCAACACTAGTTTGATTAGAGTCTTAAATTGGATGAAAAAAAAATAAACTTCAATTAGCCGCATACAAGACGGAGGCAATTTTGTTCACAACCAAAAGGAAAATTTCAGAAATACACTTTAACCTTGAAGACGTAGAAATTAAACTCAGCAAAACCAATAGATACTTAGGAGTATGGCTTGATACCAAAATGAAATTTGGCGAGCACATTGATAAAACGGTAACCAAAGCAAGCAAAACATTAGCTGTACGCGTCTACTTCCAAATGCTACTTCCTACTGTCGCGTAATGCTATGTCTACTTCCTACTGTCGCGTCTACTTCCAAATGCCGCTGGACCAAGAGCTTCTAAGAGAAGGGTTCTAGTGGGGGTCATTCACTCTCAACTTCTATATGCTGCACCTATATGGTACAAAGCAATGGAAAATAATAAATATAGGCAGAAAATAAACAGTGTACAGCGTACAGCGGCTATAAGAGTCAGCAGTGCCTACAGAACCATTTCTGCAGAGGCTGTTCGCGTTATAACGGGTATACCCCCAATGCATCTCTTGATTCAAGAACGAGTTGAAACCTACCAAGGAACTTTGAAAACTGAAGCTCGAAATAGACTATGGATAAAATGGCAAGAAGAATGGGTCAACGGCAAGTATGGAAGGTGGACGTATAGTTTAATTCCTAATATTAGAGAATGGATAGTGAGGCCACATGGTGAAGTAGATTATTATACCACCCAGGCCCTGTCGGGCCATGGGTGTTTCAAAAGTTATCTATTTAATCGAACGAAATCACCAACAAACCACTGTGTATACTGTAACAAGTTAGATGATGCTCAACATACCTTGTTGAATGTCCAAGATGGTCGGTGCTAAGACATCAGTACTATATAGCTATGAACATTCCTTTTACAGCAGAAACTATGATGAATAGCCTGAAAGGAGGAGAAAAAAACTGGACTCTGGCCTATACAGTGATAAGAGGAATCATAAAAACTAAAGAGGAAGAAGCACGTAGAAATACGTAGACAGTCCTCACGTCGAAGATATGCGAAAGCGGTACGGGCGTGATGTGTCGTAGAGAAGGGGAGGTGGTTTTAGTCAGTAGGAATCTGACACGCCGTCTTATGCAAGATTTCCTCCTCCTCTATAAAAAAAAAGGTAGAGCACAGCCAAAAATCGTTATGTTGCTCTGTTTATTACATCTAAAATAATTTGTTATCACATAATATTAAAATAAATACCTGGGAACCATTATTTATTAAATAGTGAAAGAAATAAGATACTAAAATTGTTTATGGTCTTTTACCCATATTGCGTTGTTTGGAAAGGTTGTTATCTCCGTCCTAATGTCAATTTTCTATCGAATCGTCATTTCACGACGATTGTATTTTAGTTTAGTTGAATAATTTTAAAGACCATGAGATAAGTTTTTATTGCCCATTTATAAAGTTTATAATATTAAGTTGAATTTAATGGTGCTACAAAAATAACTTTTATTTTGTAGATTTTTGCATAGCAAAAAACCCAGAATATTTTTAAGGAAGGTTTGGTATAATAGTATTTTCTAAATGACCACCAAATTATGTTAAAAATAGCAAAAAATAGTTATAGTAGTTTTTTTGTTACATTTTGGATACTTTTTTGGAAACTAATTTTTAGATTACAATATTTGTTAAATGTTGTAAGTAGTCAGATATATTTGATCTTAGTTACATAATTTCAAGGACTATGATTTGCAGTTTTTATTTCTATTTTATAAAGTACTTTATTTTGGGCGATTTTGTATTTCTGTGCCTATTTTGCGTATTTTGATTAGAAATTTTTCACTTATTATTCTATTATTGAGCTATTTCTTGTTAAATTTACCGTATGATCGAATAAAAACAGCTTCAGCGATGGCTATGAAATGAACATCGATGACATTTTCCATATAAATTTATATATAAAATGACAGCGCTCTTCATTTCATAGCCATTGCTGACGCCGTTTTTATTCGATCATACGGTATTTATACAATATATTAGCTTTAACCTAAAATATAATAATAATCGCATATACGAGATTGACATTGTTTTTGTGTTGTATTTTTACGATTAATTCTTAAATTTTGGATTATCCTAGTATTCAGTTATCCGAGGTTGCTCCCGCATGCATTACCTCAGATATTCGCGACTCCTCTGTACTATACAGGGTGGTTCGAAAGTATTCCGGAAACTTCGGCAGCCTATTCTGCAAATAAAAATAAGTAAAAAATTTCGTATAAATGTATGTTCTAAAATGCTTAGATTCGGAGATACAGGGTGTAGAAGTGTCATTTTTATTTCGATTTTTTTCTAAATAATTATTTTTTTTAAATTAATCTTCTTTTTTTCTTCGAAACAATGATGATAAAACAGTTTATGTTGAACTTTTGGCACAAAAACTTTTTTAAATTTATGATTTCAGTCTGATAACTTTTCATTCAACATGTTTTCAACATTTATGTCAATGATGACAGGTATTGATAATGTCGATTCCAAATATCTCGAGAACCATTACTCGTGACGAATTTTACCAAGAGACCTTTTTTACGCAAACAATTTCGTGAATATATATTTTTGTACTTAATAGTTATATACAGATACGGACGAGTTATTACTCTTCAAAACAGTTAAAAATATTTAGGTGGCGTCCTTTACAAGTAGGAGTCATATTGATATCAAAATCAAGTTTCTCCTAGACAGAAATTTTCATCCAAATATTGACGTTATTACTTCAGAAATTTTTTGGAAAAAATCTAAAAAAAAATAAAACTTCTACACCCTGTATATCTGAAACTAAGCATTTTAGAACATTTAACTTCTTTTTATCTGCAGAATTTGCTGCCGAAGTTTCCGGAATACAGTTCGGACGACCCTGTATATTTTCGTGTAAAAGTTCTATTCAAAATTTTATTGGCAGAGGAGATACAGCAACTTAGCAGGATCGAAATTATATTTAATTTAAGCAACCTATGTCCTGTTTAAATAAAACGTTCACATAATATTGTATTACTATTGTTATAGATGCAATACCAGCTTTACCAGCTACCTCTTCTAGTTTAGTAATATGGCCTTCTACTACAGGGAGCATAGAAACTTTGCCACTCCAACCAAAATATCTACCTGGTAATTACGAACCAATTTTTATGCAATTCTTAACTAATTCTCTTTGATTTTATATTATTTCTGAAGGCTTTCACAGAGAATCTAGCTCAGAACCTAGAGATGTAACTTGTTTAAATACCCCTCAAGATAAATCCAACAGCCCTTCAAGAAAACTGTCATTTTCGAGCAAGATATATCCTTCTGATAATAACAAAGATCAAGAAATAGTTGCAGCTAGTAGTCCCGCGTTGGCTATCGGTAGCTCTACAGAAGTACTAGTTAGTATTGTTGAAAATCAGACAAGGTTGAAGAAAAATTCATTTCTCTCAGGTATTTATTTACCCCAAAAAATATTAACCTATATTTTTTTTCTAGGTAATTGTAAAAAAGGTGGTTAAAATTTAACCATTTTTTTGCTGTTTAAAATATAAAATATATATTTCATATCAATTCAAATTTTAGTTACGTAATCGGGGAGGCGATTTTTAAATTCATTGTTGCCAACCATGGACATGTTCGGCGCCGCCGCGCCGTCGTGCTGACTAACTGGAATTAAAATTTTGCGCTGGTGATTCAGGTTGTAGCTTTGCTGTAAATTTATGTCAAGTTGCCGTAAAAAATGTCAAGTTGCCGCATTTATTGATTTATTCCCTGACATTGTCATTCGTTTTGACACTTTAGTTTTGTATTACTAGTTTTTGGTTTAAATAAATAGTGTTGTGATACTTTAAACTTAAAATGTTTACAAGCAGACCTTGCAGTCTAACATTGTTCTTAAATACCTCCTTTAGTGCGAAGTGTACAAGATAGCTTAATAGCCGTAAAAAGCTCAACCCAACTTTATTAAAATATTTTGAACGGGGAAGCGGAAGTAATGGCTCTTTATGATGTCTTTTAAGCGCTGTTAAGAACTTAAGTTTTGTTGATGTAAATAATAACTGTTTATATATTTATAATTAATTTATTTTTGTTTCCTAAAATATATTTTGATTAAAAGAAAATATGTAAAAGTGGGCAACGCTGTCAAGCTTAATCACGTGACTAAAAGTTTATTTGGTATGAACTGTATTTATAAAATTAATAAATCAATATTTTAGAGTCGTGATACACTAATGAATACTTTTTTTAGTTAATTCAGGTAGCGATGCGATATCACCTGCAGACGATTGTCCGTTATTTAATTCCCCAAGTACCGAGCTTACCACGTCCTCTGTAGAACTAGCAAATGATTCACAAGAACTAGAAGGCGAAAATAACAATACGGATAGTGATATGACCAATTGCAAAAACCTAAATAAAACCAGTGTTGTTGTGTAGTTTATTTTTTCAAATAAAGTCCGTTTTGTGTAAAATATGTAGGGTTTTATTTTAAAACAATTTTTGTTTTTTGGCGAATGCGCAAGATAATGTATATTTCACTACTTGCATATACTTGAAAATATATTCATCTATTACCTTAAATTATTTAATGATATATAAAATTAAATCTTATAAAATAATAAAAATTTATCTTAAAAATCTAAACATATTTCAAAAAAATCATATTTCTATTGTATGAATAACATATAAGGCAAAGCAAATTTGACAAAAATAATTATAATGCACTAATTTTTCTTTACTTTCCCGCATTAAATTGTAGAATACAAAGAACGTTAATTTTTATATTTTATGTCAATGATCTATAGAAACAAAAATTCTATTAAAAACATAAAATTTGAAAAAATGCCACAAAAAGTTGTTAGATCTCATGATCTCATGTAAAACCAATTCAGTTATTTTAATTAGTGTCTATGGAAGCACCTATTCAAGAAATTTGTTATAAATTGATATCAAATCAATTACCTATCAATATTTATAGTGATCCTATTAATATTAGACACCTTATTTCTTTAATAACTATAATGACTTGACTAGTACCACAGACAACTTGTGCTATTACTGACTACTAATCAGTGGCGGCTCGTGGTTATTATTGTAGGGAGGTCAATATCTAAAAATATTGCGTCGATTTTTTTAAGACGCGACCAAATTTAATTGGTAACTTACAAGGTACTTGTACGTTTAGTTAAAGGAAAATAAATCTAAAAATAAATACAAATTATGTTAAAATGAAACCTACCCTTACATTTTTAAACAGGTGGTCTAGTGCAATCACTAAAAATCCAGTCAATGTTCTTAACACAAATTTTCCACCGTAGGATTTAAAAGACACTTAAATAATAATGTCACAAAAATATAAATACATATGTATTTAAAGTTTTTTTTTATGTGTTTTAATAATACATACACATTTTTAAAAGTTTTATTTCACATTTTTTATATTTTAAGTAAATTCTTTCTCTAAACGTTTTTCGAAATTTAGGCAATAATTGTTTTCATTTAACCGCACGATTTTACAAACTAAACACCATATGTTGTTAACCACACCTAAACACCACACTATTTAAAAATATCTATTCCAAAATCAGTCAACAAGAGTTCATCATTTATCCAGAACCAGAAAATTATGAATTATTACCTACACAAATTTCGAACTGCATCTCAAACATTTGGCTACGACAAAGCTACGACAACTAAAACTAATTTTTTTTTCGATATTAAAAATTTGACTATTGATATTATGATTATATTGACTAAACCAAACATTATACGCGATAAACGATACAAAAACCTAGGTTGTTTTATAATTTGAGTTTTTATAAATACCCAAACTGCCCAAACGGCAAAATTTTTCCAGCGGTATGACTGAAATCCTGTAATATATTTATATAGAAATAATGCACTCGATATTTCTTAATCAACTAAATTGATTCTCAACTAATAAACAATATTACAAATTACAATAATAATACGCTGCTTTCTAGACAAAGGCAAAAATCGCCACTTTTTATATCGTCTGTCAGTAAACCACCAAATAGTGTATATAAAGTGTATATGAAGTTGCCTACCTTACAAATCCTTTTATAAATGACGCGGTCAGTGGCCAATATAAACTATATCTATCGCACCTTAACTCATTATATTTTCTATACGTAGTATACCTTACCTTGTTGGCGTCACGAGCCGCGGCACTTGGAGTTTAAACGTCTAAAACATAGCGGGAACGAAGGACAAAATGAAATTTTGACCGGCAGTAGAGAAAATGGGAGAAATAAAATGTTTTCAAGCGAAAATTAGACAAATTGGGAATAGTTTTGAATATTTTAGGATGGAAGAAAAGTGATTTACAAAAAGTATAATTAAAATAAGTTTTTCTAATTTTCTCCTGATTTTTTTTGGGATGCATTGACCATTTGACCTCATGGTTAAGACGCCACTGCCACTAATTAAAATACTTTTTTCTTAAATGAACTATCTAGATTAACTTAGTAATACTAATAGTGGGTTGATTATTCTTTTGTAATTATGGTGCCGTGCGAGAGTCAAGTGATTATAGTTATTATAGAAATATATATAGCTGTCAAATATTGGACACGGTCACTATAAATGTATTCAGGTAATTGCGTAGATAAATAAAACAAGTTTAGATTGGAAAGTGCTCATGGACAATGTAAATATTTGGCGCTATTCTTGCAACTGGTGCGACCCAAATATATCATAATTTATAATTAATAATTATAATGATAATTTCGGAGTGATTCGGCTTTTTCCAGAATTATGTCGTCAAATATGTATTCAAATTTATTACTTTGTTGAATTTTATAAATTAAAAGGACATGTATAAAATACCTAAAAGATATTAGAAAAACTATAAAAACAGCAGTTTGAAGTAAAAAATAATTAACATAATACCTATAATATTTTTTACTTTTCTATAATTATCACGGGGTTTGTGTAAATAAAATTTAAATTAATATCACAAGATAGTATTTTTTTCAATGAGGGCGGTTTAAATTTTAGAAGATTTTATAATTTTTAAAGATTCTGACTTCGACAAGAGAAAATTCTTTCTAACCTTGTTTGTGGTTATTTTAAGCAAACCGCTATAGCAGTGCCAGATCGCGTAAAACGTACGCGATCTCAAATAATTGAGAGGTTTCTGGCAAAAACCCCATTAGTCAGATATTTCGAAATTTGGAAAAACTAAAAAAAAACGTATATCTTGGTCCCATTTAAATTTAAATTGTCGTTTTTTTTTGTGTGAGCTCTGGTTATAATCTGAAATTACAGAAAACTAGTTTTCTTTATTTTTTTCTTATTTTTAAGTTAGGAAGGGGGTGAATTTGTTTGACTTGTGGTATTTTTGCTGGAATTTTGGCAAAAACCGTGGAAACAACGAAGTCCTCTTAGCAACTGTTCGGACGATTACGAACGACAAACAACCAAACCACAACAAAAGTAGCGGACTAGTGGAGTTTGCCGTTAAGAATCGTGACTTGTGGGGTTCTTGCGGAATTATGGTATTTTTGATCGTATGCCACGGGCTGACTTATAGCACTTTTCCCTAATTCGTTTGGTAGGTACGTTATGACTAACAAATTACTGTCGGATAGCGCCATTAACTCATTTTACCCATTTTTTGACTAATGGAGTTTTTGCCAGAAACCCCTCTATCCCTGTATCTATGAGTAACTGATTAGATAACAATATTTATAACAAAGTTGTTGAATAGAAACTAAAATACTTCCATAGAAACTAAAATAACTTGATTGACTTGGTTTTATACGGGCTCTTACAACTTTTCGTAGTTTAGGAGCAGGTGCCTTAATGTAAAAATCCAAATTTTCAAATACATCCTATCACCGGTTCTCTATAAACGTCTAACGTGCCATAGCCGTGAATCACCCTGTGTATTGTTTTGGAAATATTTATGCTATATTATTAATTCTTATTAATTTACTTTAAAAATAAATTTGACACAAAAATAAAATCATATAATGCTAAATTGGTGTTCTAAAAATATTTTTAAATACTATTTGGAAACACAGCTACAAATAATTGGCAACACTGATGTATGTTTGACATTGTTTGTTGACGCCTTGTTTGTCGCCTATGTATACTCTGAAAATTGCAGAAATATGTGCGATAACTAATTAATATAAAACAAATTACTTTTTGTCTGAAGTTGTATGATTTCTATACAAAAATAAACAAAAAAAAATATATAAATTATGTGTCCTTGTGAATCAAGGACATGCAGTATACACGGAAGAACAATTGCAGAGGAGGAGCATAGCTTGATAACAGGTGGCCTCGGTGCAAGATATTTTTTGGAGCCCCTGAGCAAAAAACTAAAATATGAATAGTATATATTTTTTAGAAACAGTAAAAAATGTGTGTGTGATTTATTTTATAAAATCAAGACGAATATAATGAATTATTACTTTAATAAAATCTTTATCATAAATAAGGTTAGGAATAGATGGCGGGGGGAGCTTCCTGAGGCGCCGGTGCTTTGCACCGAACTGCCCTATGATAGCTACGCCACTGCTGAAGAGAATCGTCTTCTACACTATTTCCATATTCAAACAAATTGTTCTCACAATTTAGTTAATCTCTGGTCATCCGCAGCAATTGAATGTAAAACCTTTAATTAAGTCATAATGATGTAGTAAGTTTTAAACATAAAATCTTTAAAAACGCGGCTTGGAGTTGTGATATTCTAATTAATATATAATAATGTTTCATTTTAGAATGAATTGTCATATGATAAAACTGTATAATAATAATATTACATACCACTTTTCCTGACATAATCATATTGACAAGTTTTTATAATGTAAGGCAGTTGAACATAAAAATATTCTTTTAAGACAAACAATACTTTATAACGTTGCAACTACCCTATGATCGAATAAAAACGGCGTCAGCGATGACTATGACAATCGATGACATTTTCCATATAAATCTCATGACAGCGATCTTCATTTCATAGCCATCGCTGACACCGTTTTTATTCGATCATACGGTACTAGTTCTATAGAACTCTTAAATACATGTATACGTTCTACTATACGTATACAGGTGTTATAAAGTGTACTTGCTTATAAAGTGTGTCACTGGATATATTGTAAAAAAACATATGATAGAAACAAGAACGGTGTCAGAGACGGTTGGCGAGTGACAATTGATTATATTTTTGGCAAGATCAAGCCCTAGACGTCATTACTTGGCCTCTGTGGGTACTCTTCTTTATTTTATAATAGCGCTTACTACTAGTGCTGTACATCAGATCCGGATTTTTTAGGGTGTACAATCCGGAATCGGATCGATCTGGGTCTAAATATTTGGATTTAAGATCTGGATCAAGGATCGTTGTATTCGTATTCACTGTTGCTAGTCGTCGTTCCATGCATAACAAGCGCATGCCGCATCCGCATACTTCGACTTTTCAACAGCAGGGAATATTG